GTGCTTTTATATAGATAAACATTGCTTTTAAAAATAGCACAACGTAGAAGTTTAGTTTCTATTATGAAGTTTGCTGGCTATCTCGAACCCCAAGCTCAAAATCTGAAATAACTAAAATAGGTACCTTTTATTTGAGAAATGTTGCTAGATAAGGTTCTTTATATCCACAAATCGTCCTCTACTTTTTTTTATTTTGAATACTTATTTATAGTTTTATATTTTGAGTTAAGAAGTGAAGAAAATTGGCCCGGGTCAAGTTTATTTTAGGAATGTCGTTAGAGTTTCCAATTTGTGACTGTCCAACTTAATCTGTTTTGAAATGTTTCTTAGGATCTGATGGATAGTGGTTACTTTGCTTCTGCTTTGTATTTCCTTATTTTTGTGTGTCAAATTAATTTTTTAATCCTTGTCGAGACTGGTGTGGTAGACATACATGCACAGTGCTATAGTCTTTGGTTATCCATTTAAATCTTAAAACTCTCTTTATACATGCAGGATTCTGGAATGAATCGTGGAAAGCCATTGTACCTAAATGAGGAACGCTATGCAGCCTTAACTCATATGGTATAGAAAAGAACTTTGCATAATTTACTGCTGCTGTGACTGAATATCTCTTATTGTGCTATTTGTTAGGTGGTATGATTAATGTCATTTGAGGTAAAAACAAGAGAAGGGGGTAAAGAGAAATGCTAATGATCTCTGGAGGAATAGAAAGTAGAGATTCTTCTTTCTCTGATTGTCTTGGGTTAAATGGAAAAATGCTTACAGGCATGGAAAAAAGTAGTATGGCTTACAAATCTATGGTTAATGATATACTCCATGTGCATCTTTGAGCTTTTAAATGTCTTAAAGAGTGCAACCAGTGAGCCACTGCTTATGGTACCTCCTTGCTTAGACCGTTAAAGGCTCTTTTACCAATATATATATATTATGTCTATATATCCCATCGGTCCCATTTTATGTGAAACTCTTTCCTTTTGTCATTTGTTCTAGTAAGAATGACACTTTCCTGTATTTAGAAACAATTTTTTGAAGCTTTACATTTTACCATTAGTGAAATAATTTATAGAAACAATTTAAATTGAAACTTTCACTTACTCTTAATGAAATGATTCATAGCCACATATATCTGTGACATGTTACATTACCAGTTCTCCAAACAAAATAATCCGTGACATGTTCTAGACCACAAGTTCCAAAAGTTCTTTTCTTAAACTCCATGCACAGTCAAACACTATCACATAAGTTGGGATGGTGGGAGTATCATTTACGGAAAATTGAGCAGGTACGAGCCATTTTTTCCCTTTTGCAAAATTCATGGTTCCTTACTCAAACGTGCCTAACCTAAGCTTATTGTAATTGCATGTCCTGCACTATGTTGTCTTCTTATAGCTTTTACTTTTCTTATTCCCCTTCATGGTATTAATTGTCTTCTTCTTTGATGTTAGTTACTATCTTGATTATCTTTAAATAACAAGGAAGTTTTGTTCCTGTCTTCTGAAATCTGAACAAGCATAACTATTGCTTTTAAATAAGGCGTTGTAATCTGAGAAACACAATTATCTTTATTACGTAGCTCTAGTCGTAGCAATTTGTTGATTTGCTTGAACGGACATTTTAGGTGGCTTCTCATGGACTAGATAGGAGTCCAAAGGTGCTTCATCAAACAAATATCGGCAACTTTTTCGTGCTTTAGCTCGACTTTATTCATAAGGTTTGGTAAAGGTTAGTTCAAGATTGCCAGATTCTCTATATATGTCATCACTTACTGACAGGTAGTTTATCTTTTTACCTTATTTGGACGCATGCAGGTTAACTAGGCCCATGGAATTCGTCTAAGATGATAAGAAAGTTATCAACTGTCCAGTCCCGAGTTTTGACTCAGACACAGCATGTTCAATGTTCCGCTATCTGCTATTATTCAATGTACAGATTATTAAGGTTTGTCTGTAATTTCTTTGTTTTATTCTGATAATTTATTTTCTGGTTTAGATAAAGTGCAATGCAAATAGATCAGTTTCATTTGCTTGTCTTGGTGGCAGGTTATCCGGACAGTTCCTTTGTATGATTGTTCGTGATTAATGTTTCTTCAATTCCATGTTTAATTCAACTTTAATTTACTTTTCCTGATATTTCAGTTATGAGTTATCCCTGTGTTAATGAAGTGTCTGAGCTTGCTGATAAAACGTAAGATGAGTGTATTAACACCATATTTTAATGAAATGCCTAATATTTTTTAAAAATGGTTTCCAATCATTAAACTCCAGACTCGGCATCGAAATTCGGGGTGGAACCTCAAAATTTAAAATTGATCAATGAGATTTTACAATAAAAAATGCAATCTTGGGTAAGATGGGTCTGGAGTTTGGACTTTCTGCATAGTAGGGACTTCTGGCAGCTCTTTTGAAAAATTCAGGTAATAGACCAACTAGGTTCTGAATACAGGGATATTCGGCATCCTCATCTGCTAGGTTAAAGTTGTACATGATTTTAGCAAGTACTTGTGTCAGATAGTGTTTGGCAGGAGTCCCTTTTTTGTGGTTTAGTTGGTTAGAATTTGTATGTCAATTCAAGGATAAGTATTTACTCTAGTAATTCTCGAAAGTATCATCTTTGCAGGGCAAAATGTTAGATCAATTGATTTGAAGAATAGTTTATGGTTTGATGAAAGAACTGAATGTATATCCTTTCGAGGCTTTCAAATGATGACCAAAATATACATTAAAATCTATACAAATAGCATTGTCCCTGCTTTGTTTGTACTGTTCCACGTGGTGGGACACAGTTTTTTAGATTTTTAAAATTTGCAATTCATATTCAAGTGACCTTTCTCAAAAAAAAGAAGACACTTGCAATTCATATTAGAATCTTAAGTAATCCAAAGAATTGACCTGTGGAATCTGATAGATGACTGGACAACGCTGCATCAGCCCCTCTGCATGTCCTACTCCCCTTTCTAACGTAATGGTAAACATCTGAATCGCATGAGGTATTTTATTTCTTTTCACTCCCCCAAACTACCCCCCAGCTAAGTCAAAAGAATTCTAGCCTGTAGTTCTGTTATGTTAGTTACTAAAACAAGATGGCCATAATCAGTTGAATTGATTTGGAGATAAAAATGTTCTCTTATGCACTTTCCAGTTATATTTTCTGCTAATAATGTTGCTGATGAGAAGGTTCTTATTGCCATTGGCTCCCTTTGATTGTTCTCTTTTCTGCATCTCACAGGCTCCTGATCCACCCACTCATTAGTTTTTCCTGTCTTTGTTCTCCCCTCTCCTTTTTTTTCAGAAGGAAAAGGGAAAAAAACACTTTCCTTTATGGTACCGACGTTCTAGCATATAGAATCTTTTTGAATAGTTTTTACTAAAAGTATAAAACATCTCTTTGCAGAAAAGTAGGCATTGACGTCTGTGGCGGAGAAGGATTTGCTTTTACCAGAATGGGACGTTTCGGATTCCATGAAAGTTACTTTGGTGGTGGAGCGGGTGGTTTTTCGCACTTACTGTAGACATTGTGAATAAAGTGTGTTTTGATATAGTTTTGATCCATCCAATTTGTCTCCTTAGAGGTGTAAATTATAGTCTAAGCAGGCATATGATAATATGACACCCTCACCCCCACTCCCACCCTCACCCTCACCCTCACCCTCACCCCCACCACACACACAAAAACACAGTTCAATCTGGAGATATAAGTTGAGATCTTATCAACAATATGTTGGAAGAGCACCAAGGCTTTTGAGTTGCACTTAAATATTATCTAAGCTTACTTTTGCACTGCTCCTAACCGTTCCGTCTAGTTTATCCGCCTTCGAATTTCTGGAATTCTTAAATTATTTGTGCTCTTTGATCAGTGAAATTGCTCCTAAAATTATCTTCTGTTTGACGCTCGTTTAAACTCAAAAATCATTTAACTAACTGGGTATTCATTTCTACTAGTTCTGCCAAGAAAGGATTCAATAGTAGTGGATTTCTTTAAGAGCTAATCTTCCCCACAGGATAAAAAAGAACTGATAAATAGTTTTTTTTTGTTGAAGACCCATCTTTTCTCAACAATGGTTTTTTTTTTTTTAATCATTTAATACAATGAAGCATAATAAATGTTGGGTAGGAACAAATTTGATAAATAAAGATAACTCTTGAATAGAGGAATAGAGTATTAGAATTTAGAACGGAAAGGTATAGCGCATGAATGTTGGTTAGGAACAAATTTAATACTCTCGAATAGAGAACTAGAATTTAGAACAGAAAGATATATCATAGTTAAAATATACGGGCGTGCAAAAATTGAATCGAAAAAAATATTAAATTATTTGGTTATCGATTTGGTATTTATTTTTAGTATTGGGATATTGAATAAATCGTTATCCCAATAAGACGATTGTAACTCATAACTATATTATCCTTCATAAATATTAAATATTAATAATTTAATATAACTAGACATTATATCGGTACTCTACAGATCTACACACATCATAGTACTTCTACTTCACATAAGAAATTTCATATTATGCTATATCAGTACTTCTACATGATCTACACACATCATAGTACTTCTACTCTTACTGACCTAATTTCTGATTTTTGCAGGTGATTTGATTGTTTCATTGCCTCGTGCCTAATTGTTAGAGAAGTATAAAATCATATATTTATTTTATGAGGCATTTGCTTATTGGATAAATCGAAAATCGAACCGTTAATGACCAATCCTATAAAGAATATCTTTTGATTTGTTATTGATTTAGCGTATTTAAAATCAAAACCCTAATAAAACGAACCAAGTGACGAATGTACACCCTCGTTGAATGATATGAAAAATTAAAAAAAATCCAGAAACGCCCACCAAGATTATCAGATATATCATAATTGAATTATACATGCTCTAGATAAACTTTTTTTTAAAAAAAAATCAAAAAACGCCCACCGTGGGGCTCGAACCCACGACCACAAGGTTAAGAGCCTTGCGCTCTACCAACTGAGCTAGACGGGCTTGTGTTTAACTAATTTTACAATATATATTTCACCGAACACAAAATTACAGGTTATCCTCATCTTCATAGCTAATACATATTTTTCATTCTCCGATGTTGTGTCCATAGAGTTTAAAAATAAATAAATCATAGATTACAAATACTGTTCACTTAACTTGAGAATCCTTTTGGAAATCTTCCCACAAACATTTCTTGAAAATAGAGCACAAAATACAGATCTTCACTTGAACAGGATATCTTACATCTATTAGTACTTCCAATGGAACATAACGACAAGAGGGAGTTGCTTGGATGATAAGCATTCTCCACTTCTCGATTATAGTTATACTACAGAAAACTCAACTGCATCTTCTTATATATGCGCCGAGCTTAATCTACTAAATCTATACAGTTTAGAACAATTTTGTTACGAAATATTTACTCAATCACTAGTTTTTTGCCTATACTCTATCAACTGAGAGAGAACTGGCTGAACAATTTCTATGAAGAAGAAAAGAAATGTAATGCACCTACCTGAGAAGGACTAATAAACGTCGATGAATATTAGCTCGTCTAAAAGATCATCGAATATGAGTTCTTCGAGCTCCAATCCAACACACTCTGCATCAAATTGCAGGTTCATCCAATTGTCCCTTTTATCCAGATCACGGCTCGCAGCATCATCAAGTAATGATTGATCATTCTCCAGTTTGTAGCTGAGCCACCAGCTTACATCTTTCCATACCTCTTCAAGCAGATAGTATCCAACATGTAGCATTGGATGTATATAAGAACGAGACGTTAAGGCCTTTGGCCAGTATAACGATGATCTCTCGTAAAGTTGTAGTAAGACCTCATTGATCAAATCAAATAGAAGAAGTTGATCATAGTTCCCCCTTTCTTCAGCGTATCCTGAACATTCGGGTTGATGAAGAAAAGATCCTCCAAGTTCTTCAAATACTGAAAGGTTCATAAATTCATTTCCACTAAAGCCTGATAGGTTCAGTACATCTTTTACATAATTGAATTCAGCTTTGTTTTTTTCGTCCACCTGAATTTGCAATAGACTTGTCATCTGTTCATGGTCTAATATTTCTTCTTCATTGGAATCAAATGCATTTTCCGCTATACCTGAGGAAACATTCAGTTAGTTAGCCAAAAAATAACAACATTGCTGCAGAAATTTAGAAGTTTTGGTTTTCGTTCTAATATGCTTGCAGCAAATATGCACCACCAGAGGCGGACCCAAGATTTGAAGACGGCGGGATCACCATTATCTTAACATAAATGCCAACAAAATTTTCAATGACGACTAAAGGATAATACCATGTTGGGGTCATTGATAGCGTGAGCAGTGATGAAAACACAAGTATATAGGTCAAATATGATTTCTACGCTAATAATTTAACTTTTAACACAAAATGAAACAATTGAGAGAGATAGCTCAGTGGTTAAGGTTGTGTAAAATGTATGGAGAATGGGAGAAGAATATAAGATTGACTCAAAATAATACCTTCAATCGCGGAGAGATCTGCTGGAATGGTACTAGCTTCTTGAATTATCATATCAGGCAAAGTAGTCGAAATCGGTTTATCCAAAGTGGAGTTAGTAGATAAATTGTCATCCATATTGTATTCAACTGGAAAAGAGTTCTCCTCTGCCTTTAAGCCACCAATGTCATCGGAATTCTCGCTAACATCAAGAGAATTTTCTAGAATCTTTGAGTCTGAACATGAATCTTGTTGAGTTTTCTTTTCTGAACCTAAAGGAATATCCAGGGACTTTTGCTCATTGGACCTGGTAGCCCCTGAATATAAGTTGCTGCTAGATGCAGTCGAAGCAGCTGTATCGAGTGTTTCTGAATAGCTAGCTTCGGGAGTTTCCTCAATTCGGAAAGAAGAGTAATGCCTAAGATCAGGTAAGGAAAGAATCCTTTCCAGGGCTATAGTCCTACTTCTAGCTGGTGAAGGTGATCTAGATGCTCTCAAACTCGACCTTTCGGAGCTGTTCTGTTTTTCATCCCTACTAAAGCAGGTTTCAAGTAATCTACTGTAACTGTCCAACGAGTCATTGAGCGATGACGTTCTTTTAAAGGATTTCATCTGACTCTTGCTAAATGGAGAATGACAGCGAGAAGTGTTACCAGTACTTTCTGAAAATGATCCGTCACTTCCATCTGGTTTAACATTCTTCAATGACATATGACCGTGTGGAACCTTATGAAGGACAGCATCCATAGCAATCCGATGCTTCTCCTTACGGCTTTCCTTGAGAGCATGTGTTATTTTCTCCTTCAAATTCCTGAAACGTGCAAGGACAAGTTTACTATTGTGGCGCTTGTGTTTGAGTGCAGCTGGTGAACTCGGAGGGAGCTTATCAAATGATTCAAGTCTTGTCAGTACACCTTTTGTGACTTCCTCCTTGTTCCTCGCTACTAAATGTCTATTCAACTTTTCTGCAGATTCAAATCCAGCTGACCCCAACAGTTTACCTCTAATTTGTGACTTATCTTGGCTGCTCTTATCATTGCTTGACCTGGCAGCAATTTTTTCAAGTGACAAACGCGAAGGAAATGACACGGACTTGGTTAAGCCTTTGGATGCACGTGTACCTTGTAACTGACGTGCTAATGAAGAATTCGGGTCCTGTAATATTTTAAGGAACAACTCCTCTCTCATGTTTAGTAAATCAAGAGCATCCAAGAATAGCTTCGACTCTTCAACTGACACATTTTTAGTCTGCTCTCTAAGATAAAGTGACTGTGTACGACGAAAACTGAAGTTTGTACTTGGTTGTTTCCCATTCTTTTTAGTATCACATTGCTTTAAGTGATTCATATCAAGCATAGAAGCACACAACTCACATTTCTTGTTGTTGGTAACAGCATCCTTTCTCTTCTCCGGCAGGGGTGGATCTAACAAACTAGCAACGGACAAATTCTTATTCTGAGGCTGCTGCAATATCTCATCATTTAGACGAATTTTCGGAGAATGCTCTACATTGGCAGGGCCTAGATAACGAATAGGAGCAGTTTGTTCCAGCGGCATTGTTATAGGACAGGACAAAGTTCGGCGATGTTGGACCCTTTTACTAGATAGTAGCTCTTTTGTGATCAAAGTTTTTAAACGAGATTTTATTGAACTTTTTTGCTGCGTGGCTACTGTTTTGGCTTCTGCTTTCACTACAATCTGAAATAATGAATTTGTTAGCATATACAGTTATGTGCAAAACACATGTTGTCTCTTTGCACATGTATCAGAAGAAACAACGACAAAACAGAAGCGTAAGAAGAACAAGAGGCAAGCATGAAGCAGGTTACTTACAGGGAAATCTTCCGATTTGACATTTATTTTTTCTGGAGTGTTAGAAGAATCAGTTGCAGTTGCATTACTCCCACGATCTCCTGCCGCTGAAAAAAATGACACAGTATATCACACTTTCTTTTCTACTCACTTGTTTCAAGTGTCAAATCATGTTAGTAGCCAAGGACTAACTAAAAGGAGTGGCGTATAGCATGACTGGACATCCTTCATCGGAAAATTGTACCGAGTATGTAAGTCAAGATTTACTTCTTGTACATATATTTAAACCTTGAATACCCTTAGCAAAATTCCTGGTGCCAACTGAATAAAATGATAAGTTGAATATGGACAATTCTACTTCACAATAAATAGGTTTAAGCCTCTCCTATATAAAATGAAAATATGATCATTTTTATATCTATGACAACATACACAATATAATCCCACAAGTGAGATTTGGGAAGGATAGGATATACGCAGACCTTACCCCTATCTTTGTGGGATACAGAGTCTGTTTCCGATCATTTCTATATCTACCAACAACTAATGCTTTTCTTACCAACAATATGCTTTGCACCGCCCTGCTTGATGTACGGGAGGCGTTTCCTGACTTGATGCCACCGATGTTGTTGATTTAAATGATGAAGTATCCCAAACATGCATCCCGGAGGATTACATTCTCGTCGACTTCTCAAACCCTTCCCCATTGTGTTACAATATACTCTTTGTGAACAAGCTACAGATACTACCTAATTGATTTAGAGTTTTGCAGCATCCTACACCTGATACATGTGAATTATACCGGATTAGCTAAAACTGATGGATCAACAAGGTGCTAACAGAACACAATAAAAAATAAAAGGGAATGTAAGAATTCATGCGCGAGACCTTACCCCTACCTCGTGGAGTAGATAGGTTGTTTTCCGAAGGACCAAAGAAATCATTAAAGGAACATGTGAATACCTTCAAAGAAACACTTGTTATTACTTTCGCTATTGGTATTATTTGCAAGGTCTTATTCTTTACTTTTGCATGCTCTCATATGCTATATTTGAGCCAAGGGTCATTCAGAGACGCATTTCTACCTCCACGATATACGAATAATATGTGCATACACTCTGTCCTTTTCAGATCCCATTTATGAGATTTCACTCATTTGTTATTGTTGTGAGTATTACTTTACAATCTATATTACACTTTGTACAATTATCATGTCACCTATTTTTCCATACCAAACCAAATATTGGAAAAAGAATTTCCAAAGAATCTATTTTTTAATGGAAAAAATATTTTCCTTAAACGAAACCACCCATCAGGGGCGGATCCAGTATTTAATCTCTATACGTTCAACCATTAAACCCATTGTATTTTCAAGTTATTAGTTCATACATGACAATTTTATATATAAATCTATATTCCACATAGGAAGTTTTAGGTTTAGATTAACCCGATCCACCTCGTAAATCGTGCTGGACATCTAATTTGATCTAACAAGTAAACTTTGAAAATTTAATTTGTTTCTGGGTAATAAATTTTGAGATCCATCACAATAAAATATCTTCAGAAAAATTGGAAAAAATTAAATTAAATACTGAATATATGTCATCCTCGTACCTTCATAATATGCCTAGCAATAGCAGAAATGTCATAATCTGAAGAAACAAAAAATAGATAAAGCGATAGTAATTTTATCTGTTTTTGATGAGTGGAAAATAATGAACAATTTCTCTCTTAGTTTTGGCGCCATTTGTATGCCAACCGTTCTCCGTTTCTCCCTCTTTATGTACTAACCGCTTATACAAAATAATTTTTTTTTACTTTTTAAAATATGAATAGGTTTTTATATATTATTATTTTTCAAATTTAATTATAAGAATACAATTAATATATTATTATCATTAAATACTTCGAAAAATATAAATTTTTTTGTAAATCTTATATTTTTAGTTCATTCACTTTGTAATTAATAAGGGTAAGAATTTTATTATACCCTCATTTAATTATTTTGAAAAAGATACATTTTCTTAAAAATATTAATTTTTTCACTTTATAGTTAATAAGAGTAAAATATTAAATTCATTATGCTAATAAATTATTTTTTAGATATGTCAATTCAGAGATGGACAAATAATTAGATACAGATAAATTATTTCTTTAAAAAAAGAAATAAAGATATGAAATACATGCTTGAATTGGTTAAAAAATTGTCAAGAAAATAATAATCAGGTAAATAGAACCTTACAATAATCATAGTAAAGTGTTACAATTTTTATTAATCATCTAATTCCTCCCTTTAAATATAAAATTCAGTCTTTGATAATTAGATTATAGAGTAATATTTGAATGGCTTTTGAATTTTTTTAGCATTATAAAACTAAAAAGATCCCGCTGACAACTAACAAAACAAAACAACTATACTCAATTACGACTATTACATATTTACTAATTATTCGTAACTCCTAACTCCTTAAAGTTATATGCATATTTCATATAAATATCTCAATTATGACTATTATATATTAAATACTTAAATAATTCAAAAGAGTATATTTATTAAACACAAATATTGATGTGGCAAAAAATTATTTTTCACTTCACTAAGCGCATGAAAAATCTGAATATTATTATATTTTTATTTTTTCAAAAGAAACTTAATATTTTTTTCCACTCGTCAATTAAATAGTTTAATTTTTTAATTTAAAATTAATATTAATTGTTAAAACAAAAAAAAAAAAACCCCATCCACCTCTTTCAAGTCGTCGTCTTCACCAAAGAGAAGAAGACCTGCACACTCTTGTTTTTTTCTTTCTATTTTATCTCTTTTTAATATTTATTAAAAATAATAAAAATTGAATCAACTAAGTTAATTTGAGAACATCCAACCGAAAAAAATATTTTATAGAAGGGGTAAAATCGTTTCAACTTTCAATTTTTTTATTCTCATTTTTAATAATACTAGTTTCTAGACACGTGCTTTGCATGTGTATTCCACATCAATCAATATTATATTTTTCAAATAACATGAATAAGAGTTTAATCTATTTATACTCATAGAATGTAGTGATAAGAGGATATGAATTATGAAAAGACACCAAAAATTATAATACTTTGTAAAAATATGTAATCACTAAAATATAAATTCATGCTCATATCAAGTAAATATAATGTGAAGCAATAACATTACATTAAAATATACAAAAAAAAAACTAAGAAATACGAAAAAGTCAAAATGAACTTATATGATGTCAAAAAAACAACAACAAATTAGTTGTGTACATCGTAAATCAATTGAAAAAAAGAAAAGAAAGAAGCAATAGACATACCAAACAAAAGAAATAATTTTGACAATTTTGTTTCTTTCTTGAATTCCCAAAAATTGTGATACATTCTTTGCAAACACTTTATATGAATTTATATAAATATATCGCTACAATGCAATTAAATTGAAAACACAAAAGGTAGAACAATTTTTAAAAATATCAAAAACATTAAGTAGTATTTTTATAAGAGTAGACAAAAATTTGGCTATATTATTATAATGTGTTACTCTATAAAGTACTTTTTTAACTTTATTTTGGTAAGTTAATATTGAAGAATTTCAATAAGAGTAGATGAAAAGACTTTTCTACAATATTAATTATTCATTGCATTATAAAGTACCATTTATTTTCTTGTAAAAATGCAAATTAAAAAATATATATTTACGAATCATAAATCTTTTGCGCCATTAAATCAATAAAATTTTGATATAACCATATAGATATGCTCATAAAAAATTGATGTACATGTACCCTAATTCGAACTTTTTAACTTAATGATTTTTTTACTCACCCTTTAATGTAACTTAACTTTTTTTAACAAATTAGATATTTAGTCAAAAATTAGTTGAATGAAGTTAAAAAATCATTACATATTCATGTAATTCAGATGATAGTATTTAATATTTAAATAATTATATATTTTGTAATATTTTAATTCCCATTATATATATATATATATATATATATATATATATATATATATATATATACGATGGGAATGTGTTCTTAATTCATTGGTCAAGGAAAAAAATTATGGCCACTTAATGATACTGAGAAAAGGAATACGCATTAATGATCTTCAAATTTATTACCGTAACAGTTTTTTGTGGTAAGGAAAAATTATTTTGTTAACACTTTGGACTTTTGTATTAATTATTAAATTGATTTAGTTCACAAATGTTATATATTATTTATTTTTGATGATAATTAATTAATTATATATTTAATCATGTACTTTTTACATGTATGTCATATTAATTGTATCAGTATAAAGACTTAATAGATATTATACGCTGAATTGTATAGAATTAAAGTGGAAAAGTACAAGCTTATATATTGATATAAAAAAAAATCTCAAAAGCAATATTCGAATGACACCAATTATATAATTAGCAAACTAATCAAAAATAATAATAATTTTATTTATTTTAAGTTAATTAATAATTTGTCTGCACAATTTTTCCCTATAAAGAAAAGAGTTACATACTTGGGCCTAAAGCCCAAGTCCAAACAGCCAAAGAGTTCATAAAACAAGTAGTAAAACTCATCTCCTCGATTCCGGCTAACATGATTAGCTTAGGTTTCCTTTTCATCATCTCCTCGATTCCGGCCACCTGCAATGCTCCGGCCTGTGGTTGAACCACCATTTGCGCCTCCTCCTGCTCTGGATTGCATTATTGCTCTCAGCTTACAGTAGTAAGAATACTTTTCATCTCGCTCTTCTGAACCATCTTCCCCTTAGGAGGTCACAACATGATCAGTAATAAACAAAGTGAGGTGAGGAGTTAAGTGGTTAATTAACGGTAGTTAAGTCATTAGTGTTCAATTAGTTACCGTCAGTTACATATAGTTAGTTATAGTTAGTTATAAAGTAAAGAGTAGTTTGTATATGATGTCAAACTATATATATTTGCTTCATATCATTCGTTGTATTCAGTTTTCCATAGTAAAATACAGAAGCTTCCAATTCTCTCTTCCTCTGATTTCAATAGCGGCTTAGTTCACTGTGATAAAAAAATCTTGAAGTCTTTTGCAACATGAAGAAGAATCCGGTAAGCACGTTACGAATTTTGAAGAATTGCTTGCTGCAACAGCTTACTTCAATAGGATGATTAGACGGTATTGAATTGATGAATTGACAAATTCTGCAATTTCTGTTCTCCAGCGATTAACATAGGTTTTGCAACGTTGATTATTATTTTTTAACTTTTGGTATATTAAGTAGGTAAGTTTAGTGTATTGTTTGAATATCATTGAATTTATGACATTGGAGAATTAATCTAACCCTAGGCTTGAATTAACATCAAGATTTGAGCGAGTTCTTGGGTTAAGCCTGAAAGTTTTTTTCTTTTGGTGCGTAGACTTCAAAGCTTATGAAATTTGATGATATGACTTCTTGAGTTTCGATATATTGCTAGTTATGAATTTCAACTTTGAACTCTTCAGATTAAGGTGTCTGTGTGTCCATGATCTATTCGGGTCCTTATCTTCTGTCTCTGTTTTTATTATACTTCTTTTTTTTTTTGATGCCGTTCAAATATATAGTTTTTCTTTATATTATTACTAATAGTGTTGCAGTGTTCTCCAGTTGAAAATTCCTTCAGTTTCTTGTAAGTAACTACTGTATGTTGTTGCAATTTATGGATGCATTTATCAAATTAGATATCCCTTTGGTCATGAATGAATTTCTTAAAATTCTATTGATTAAACTTGACCTTAGCTTCATATGTATCTTTTTATCATTTTATGTTGAAGTTTTAACTTCTTTTTCTTTCTCCTTTCTCTTGCCTGCTGACAGAAGAGAGTGAAAAAACAGAAACAACATAAGAAAGCGTTGAAGTTTTATAAAACTTGTTTTGGGTTTAGAGAGCCGTTTAAGATCTTATGTGATGGAACATTGGTGTATACACTTGTTGTTAAAGACATACCACTTAAGACTGCATTGGAAAATAGTCTTGGCGCCAGAGTTGAACTCTTTACAACCAGGTTTATTTCAACAGCTCCATTTGTCTCTTTTCTGCTATGGTCTTTACATGATCTAACTTTGTTTGCACAAAAGCTAAATATGTTTCGATTTTAAACTGTTTGGTCACTTCCTGTCTCCTCTTTCCTTCAGATGCCTTCTTGCGGAGTTGGAGTTTGTTCTCTTATCCAAAACACTGGAAGCAGAGAGTCTTCCCTTATCCAAACAGGAAGCAGAGAGTCTTCCCATATCCAAAGCACTGGAAGCAGCTAAAAGTCTTTGTACTGTTGCACGATTAGCATTTATTCTCTTCTTCTTATTGCTTCTCTCCAGAGCAGGATGTATGTTGCTTCAGTTCTCACAACAGTCTTTTGAGTTATGCCACATCTTACTCTATTGAAGATGCGGCCATGAAACATGGAAACGTGCTGAAGATTGCATAACTGAAGTTATTGGGCAGAAAAATTCTCAAAACTTTGTTGTTGCTACTGAAGATGGTCATTTGCGTGGACGTCTTCGAAAGGTATTTGAACTTACTTTCCTCGATTATAATGTCCTATATGTATTGTAATGTCGTCATATCATGTGAACTGGAAAAAACCCATATTTTAGGATGTATTGTCAGAAAATCTTCAGGAACTACTTAGTGAAATAATCTGTTGCATCCATTTCAAAATGCGAAACTCGCAATCTCTGACTTCTGTCAGTAGTCAAAAGATTTTTAAAACGAGTGGGAAGTGGTAAAAACAAGAGATCTTTGTGCATCTACATTCTACAGACTACAGGACTATATTGTGATTCACCAGTTGACCTTAGCATGTGGGACTGAGATGATAAAACTGTAAAATATTTCTGTAAATTTTATGTACTCGTTGCGAAGGAGTGACCAGAATCCATTTTGTATCTGTAACTCTTATAGGTTGTTTGATTAACAATCAAAATTGCTTATTTTTTTCCTAAGTGCGTATTTTAGAGGTTTGAGGTGTTTTACCATACTTATAAGAAAATAAATTAAGTGCTTTTTAAGTAGCAATAGAAGCTGAAAACAGTTGCTTTTTCCCAAAAGCACTTCTGAAATCACGACCAAGCACAAATTGCTGTTCTAATATTGACAGAAGTGCTTTTCTATTTGATTAACTAAAGCACAAACTGCTACTCTCCAAAATTACTTTTCCGAAAAGCACTTCTCATAATAAGGATATTTCAAAAGCTTGGGCAAACAGGTATGACTTCAAAATGAACCTGAAAGACCTCCAACATTTAGGAGAACAATTAATTATGTAAATGCCAACTGGCTTTTATCCTGTTTTTTTCTAACCTTTGTTTCCCCTTTCCTGAACTGGGTAGATACCTCGTGTGCCCCTAATATCTGCTGTGGGGGAGAAATTATTTCTAGGAGAACCTTCACGATCTCAATATCAGTTTGCCGAATCTTCTGAAGCAGAACGTCTTCGTATGGCTTACCAGGAGTACATAATGAAAAACAGGAGACTGTCCGATGACAAACAAGGGAATTCTTCCGTTGCATCAGAGGAAAAGATACATGATGTTTCACAGGCTCAGATTATCAAGAAAAATGTTAAGAGGAATGGAAGTGATGTCAAGGATAAAGTTTGCTTCAAGAGAAAGAAAGCTAAGGTTAGGGTTCATAATATATTCTTATTTTCCCTTGCACAACTTAAAATTAAGCTTGTTGCTTCTCTCATTCTATTTAAATAGCGTTGTTTAGGAACCAATTCTCTACTTTCAGGTGAAATATTACACGTTAATTTTCAATGCCTTTGGTACAAGTTCTTTCTTTTGATAAGTAAACACACATTTTATCAAAGCAGCATACATTAAGTTAGTGACTGGTAAATGTAGAAAGATATGGGATACAAAACTCATCCCTGACAATTCCTTGGAAGTGCAGCTTTTGCTGGTTTGTGACATGAACTTTTCAGAAACCATAATGATGTTAATAAATGAGATTTTCTGGAACTTCTGTGTGTGTCATTTCATGAGCGATTGCTAGGATACAAGAGTTACTCTGAAAGTTGCTTGATTCATAAAGAATGATTTTTCTTTATCTAGATTGATAAATATCTTGTTATTTTAGCTGGCGTACGAATTGTGATCCTTAAGCTCTGAACCAAAGCTTTTTTCTTTCTCTACGCTAGATGGCTGGACATATATTCGAAATAAGAGGTTATTTTTTTTTTTGTGCAAGTGTGATATTATTTCTTATAAGTATTACTTCTGCATTTAACGGTTGCTGTGTGCATAGCCGTCTCTTAACTTTGAGTTGAAAAAGATTGAGTGACGCAAATGAATGTATTATGTTGTAAGTGAATTGTTTTGCCTGTTGTTCCTCTAAATTGATCAAGTCGTACCATATTTACTTATATATAATATGTTTCATGGATGTTATTGCCATCATGCATGTTTAGCTGAACGCGTTCCTGAATGACTATGGTTTATGCCTTCCCTTCTACAGGGTCCAAATCCACTTTCAGTACTCAAGAAGAAAAAGAAGCCTGTGGTTACAAATGATAAGAAGTTAAATAATGGTGAGGGAAGTGTGAAAAGGAAGAGGAGAAGGAAGACGTCACAGAAAGAAGATGAAACTCAAGATGGTGATTTGCGTGGAAGTCTTCGAGTGGTATTTGAACTTACTTTCCTTGATTATAATGTCCTATATGTATTGTAATATCTGTCATATCACTTACTAAAACTTGTGCACTGTAAAATCCCATATTTTAAGATGCCTTGTCAGAAAAAAATCTCCGGCAACTACTTAGTGTAATAGGGTTGCATCCATTTCAAAATGCGGAACTCACAATCTCTGACTTTTGTCAGTAGTCAAAATATTTTTAAATATCTAAGTGGGAAGTGGTAAAAACAAGAGATCTTTGTGGGAAGTGGTAAAAACAAGAGATCTTTGTGCATCTACAGGAACTATATTGTGGTTCACCAGTTGGCCTTAGCATGTGGGACTAAGATGATAAAACTGTAAAACATTTCTGTAAATTTTAGTACTCACAAGGGAGTGACCAGAATCTATTTTGTATCTGTAAATCTTATATCTTGTTTGTAAGATTAACAGTCAAAATTGCCTTTTTTTTTTTTCCTTAGTGCATATTTTAGAGGTTTGAGGTGTTTTACCGTACTATTAGGAAAAAAATTTAAGTGCTTTGAAGTAGCAGTAGAAGCTGAAAACAGTAGCTTTTTCCCAAAAGTTGGAACCAAGACCAAAGCACAAATTGCGGTTCTAATATTGACAGAAGTGCTTTTCAATTTGATTAACTAAAGCACAAACTGCTATTCTCCAAAATTACTTTTCCGAAAAGCACTGATTTCCGAAAAGCACTTCTCATGATAAGGATATTTCAAAAGCTTGGGCAAACAGGTATTACTTTAAAATGAACCTGAAAGACCTCCAACATTTAGGAGAACAATTTATTATGTATATGCCAACTGGCTTTTATCCTGTTTTTTCTGACCTTCGTTTCTCCTTTCCTGAACTGGATAGATACCTTGTGTGCCCCTAATCTCTGCTCTGGAGGAGGAATCATTTGTCGAAGACCCTTCACCATCTCAAAGTCAGTTTGCCAAATCTTCTGAAGAAGAACGTCTTCCTATAACTGACCTGGAGGATCAGATTACTAATATAAATGTGGAGCGCAAGGATAAAGTTCGCAAGAGAAAGAAAGCTAAGGTCAGGGTTCAGAATATATTCTTATTTTCCCTTGCACAACTTAAAATTTAACTTGTTGCTTCTCTCATTCTATTAGCTTGTGTGCAAATTGTGATCGGTAAGCTCTGAACAAAAGGTTTTTTCTTTCTCTACGCTAGATGGCTGGACATATATTCGAAATAAGTGGTTATGTTTTTTTATGTAAGTGTGATATTATTTCTTTTAAGTATACTTCTGCATTTAACGGTTGCTGTGTGCATAGCCGTCTATTTACTTTGAGTTGAAAAAGATTGAGTGACGCAAATGAATGTATTATGTTGTAAGTGAATTGTTTTGCCTGTTGTTCCTCTAAATTGATCAAGTCGTACCACATTTACTTATATATAATATGTTTCATGGATGTTATTGCCATCATGCATGTTTAGCTGAACGCGTTCCTGAATGACTCTATGGTTTATGCCTTCCCTTCTACAGGGTCCAAATCCACTCTCAGTACTCAAGAAGAAAAAGAAGCCCGTGGTTACAAATGATAAAAAGTTAAATAATGACGAGGGAAGTGTGAAAAAGAAGAGGAAAAGGAAGACGTCACACAAAGAAGATGTTGTTGTTGAAGGCATCCACCAGTAAATCTTAGTGAAATGCTGATGCTGATGCTGTATCGTAATGAGATAATCTTCTCTAGAGAGCACCATATAACTGAAGACACATGAATTATCGTAATTATTTTTCTCTTACAACTTCCAAGAATTGATGACAATGGTTGATTTTAAATGCATCAAGAGTTTCTTTATTCTCAAACTAAATACATTGCTTGTGTTGGTCTACACTGGTATATTTATTCCGCAACTCTGCCCACCAAAGCTTAGGCAACAATTAGAAAAGCACCTAATTGGGAGTGTTTTCTCTTGAACTAAATCCATTTCTTATCTTGGTCTACGTATGATAATTACGACAGTACAATAAAAAATAATTATTAGCGGCAATTAATTCTCAATTGCCGCTAAATATGTATTTTTAGCAGCAATTGTCACTTTGTATATGTCCCTAAAGCCTTTAGCGATATTGGTTCTAATGACATTTAACTAATGCCAGTAAAGACTTTAACACTCTTTATTAATGTCAATATTTAATGCCGCTAAAAATCATTTTTGTTGCAGTGCGAGTTTGTTCCCACCATCACATGCACCAGACACCTCTGCCCACCAAATCTTAGGCAAATGAGAGTATATAACCTTGTGTTGTTGCCACTCAGTGATGAAAGTTGGAATTACATTACTGTTTACCTTTTTGTACTTCTAAAGCAAAAATCAACTAGGAAAGTTTTTTAATCTCATTCTCAAAACTCAAATACGAAATGTCTAGTTAAAGGTGAAAGGCCCTTTTGATTCTATCTCATCTTGTTTTCATGTTTGCTAGTTGTTACAAATAAGTTAACCGGCCATTATTACAAATATAACTTAATTCGATATTATATGTTGTTGTTGGTACGCACAATTTAAACTTATATGACATTCTCTTTCATGTTATATAAACACGAGAAATTAGGCACTAAACAATCATTTCGATGAAAGCACAATTGTTGACATAGATTTAATTTTTTTTTAAAAATTGTATAAGAAAAAATTGTGGTCACAAACTTGTTCAATAAAATAATGCAGTTGTGATTAAGATTAAGACGTGACCTATTAATCATCATTCATTATTAGAGCAACTTTCATAGATAACAAACACAAAAATTATATTTGTGTATTATACTTATAATTTGCATAATTATTCTATATCAAATATAAATATGTATATTTCGCTATACATATATAAAAGAAAATAGTTGTATATAATATGTTTCTGATTCGGCATACATGTACAAAAGATCAATTGAATAATCTGTGTTTGTATAAAGCGAGAAAGAGAGAAAGGGAAAGGAACTGGGCATATGTATATACAATTTTTTCTCGCTTCATACAAATATAAACACAATTTATACATTACTATTTGTATAAGCGAGAGGCGAGGGAGAGACTCGCAAGTGATAATTTATCCTACCATTTATATGGGATAACTTATCTCATATAAATGGTGGAATAAGTTATCCCAGGATAACTAACCTCAGGATAGTTTATCCTGAAATAACTAGTTCGCAACCAAACGGCCCCTTAAAGGTATTGGTTGGTTAGATTAGCGCGTTTCTTAATAAATAACTTTTACTTGTGAGTTTTGTGACACAATAGTCGATAATATATTAATCACCTTGATATATGGAGAAAGAAAAAGAAAAATATAGAGGAGCAAAGGAGAAAGATGGGGAATAATTTAGGATTAAGGGCAAAATAAAATGGGTCATAGTATATTTTTAATGGATCTTATTAAGTGGATGGATCACTAAATGATTTAAATGATATATTTTATTTTTTAAAATTTTATTTTTCATACAAACAATTAATATCGACAAATTTTAATTATAAAAACAATATAATAGATTGAGTGACATTTGAAGAAAAATGGAATAATTGAGTGACTTTCTGAGAGAAGTGCATAGCTAAGTGACTTTCAAGTTAAAATTGAAAGTTGATGACTTTACGAGAGAATTGAGTGACCATCCGAGGTATGAACTCAAAAAAATACTAAAAGATACTAAATCATAGTACCAATAATTTATGCAGTAGCTTATAAATGAGGGATATAACAAAGCAATTGACTATAGTTTAAGTGAAAATTTTGCTTGTACTGTATCTGTGTTTCTGCTAAATTTTAGAAAGTACTCCCTTTGTTATTTTTACTAGTCCATTATATTAAAAAAATATATGTCCAATTTTAAAAAATTAAATTATTTCATATGTATTTTACTCTCAGTACTATTAGAATTCATATGAGCGACTTACAATAATTAGGAGTGATGTAATAAAGTGTTATTTTATTTATTGATTCTTAAGAGATGCGTCGTATAGATTGTTGAACATAAACAAATAAATATGAACGAATCGATTATTTAACAAAGCATACAGGTCAATGCAAAAGGAAAATAAAAAGTTGGAAACTGGAATTTGAGAGATAATCAAGAGAGAAAAAAAGGTGAAAATTTGAAGAAAAAAAATAATCATGAGAACTCATATTTGAGCATAAAGCATTGGATTCCCTAGAGCCTTTGAAACTGAGTTCACCTAAAAGCTTGAAATGCCAAATTTTTTAGAGTCAAATCATGACATATATAGAATACCTTTGTGAGTTTGGATTTGTTACTAACTACTCTTTTCGATTTGTTGATTTCGACTTGACATGATACTTAAGGAATACAGTTTTTTTTTTTAATTTTGTGATTTTAAATTAAAAATATTTAAAATATATTAAAATATTTTTTAATATTATAATTTATGTAAAAAGTTAAAATTAAAAATTTACCAAAAATGAAAAAAGAAACAATTCTTTTTTTTTTTGTAAGATTAAAAATGAAAGTAAGACCAAAAGATATTCAAAGAAAGGGAGTAAGTAACACATAATTTTCATTTCTTTTAACATGATGACTGTTTGATTATTTTTGTGTCTATCAAATAAAGTTATAAAAGAAAAAGGTTAGCTCATTATACAAATCCAATATCACTACAATACAAATAATTTTTAACGACAATAATAAACACATTAATAAATAGTGTTAAAGTCTTTATCGACATTAATTAAGTGTCGTTAGATTCAATCTCGTTAAAAGTTTTAAAAATATATACAAAGAATGTTATTTGTAGCTATATATATATATATATATATATATAAATCAAAAATGAGTATTTTTAAGTGATATACTTATATATAGTCTATAAAGTTATTGTCAGTAAGAGTTCACGGATTTAAACTATGAAAATAATCTCTTACAGAAAAGCAGAATAAAGCGACATATAAATATATAATAGATCTTTATGGTTCGACATTTGACACCATCGTATGAGTACGGTATTTTAACAAATGGCATTGACTTTAATTAGTTAGAATTCCATCTCACGGAGATGAAATGTCAAACGGAACTTAAAATTCATTTCCTTGGATTCCATCATGTCAAACTATTATATACTATAGTTTAATAATACACAAGAAAAAGAAGATTTGACTTGTATGCATCACTTATCAAAAGTAGCTTTGCCAAGAAAGGCTATTGCACATCCTTCATTTTACTCCTTTTGATCATATGCACTCTTCTCAAAAATAATATTATAACCGATCGCATTTTTATATAGAATCAAATGACTTTTGTTTAATTGAGGAGCAGAAATAGATATGAGCTAATAATTTATATTTTATGATATTTTGCATAAGAAATGTTTGCCCTTTTAGTAGGTTTACATTGTGCAAATTCATATTAATCGGATCAGTAATTATTATCGAATATCAAATGACTTTTATCCAGGAACAAAAATAAAACATATATTGCTTGAGGAGCAAAACGCTTATTAACAAATTGCATGCTTGTCTACAAATACTTTATGGGAGAAAAGAAAAACTAACAACATAGCCACTGAAATCACACTAGAGACTGAGGAGAGTAAAATATACGCAGATCGTATCAGAGAGGCTATTCTCGAAGGATCTTTGACTCAATTCCAAATAATAGCAGGAAAACGTAACCAGTGTATATTTCTTCCTTATTTAAATGAGAAAAAAAAAAAGGAAGAAACAAATTACGTAAAATATAAATGAGTAGATATATAATTGCATAACAAGTTAAAAATTCTAAAAAATTCTCACCTCTCTATTGGAAAAATAATTTCAGTTTCATCAGTCTATTTTTCTTGATTTCTTGTTTGGAAGATGCAAATCTTTTTGGATCCTTGTGATGCAAATTGTTTCAAAAATAGCCTCTTCGAAGATTAATGTCCTCGAAATTGCACTTTTTCTCTTGGTACTAATTATCGGCCTAGTAATTTTCACGGGTGCTCGAGGACATTTTGTAATTTTTGCAATTTTGTGATCCAAAGAAGGTGGAGTTAAAAATCCATAGTCGTCATCTTCATAATCATCTATCTTTGGAGTACATTTAGCGTAATTTTCATGACCTTGTTTCTTCTTGATATCATCATCATCATCATATAAATCTTGAAGCTCGACTTGATCACCACGATTATTTAGTATAATATTATTACGATCACGAATATTAGGTACAACTATATCTTCATTGGATTTGATGTCTTCTTCATTTTCCATTGTAAATTTGGGATGATACAATTTTTTGGATGTAATTTGTGGATGGTTTGTTCAGGTGAAAGAAGGTTGTTGGAAAAATATATGGAAAGTTAAAGAGAGCATTTGGCAAAGGATCCTATGTACACAAACTTAGAAAAAGTCCTCTTACTCTTTTTATTTTTGGTCATTTATAACATGATTTCTACGTTAATTCGATTTATTTTACTTGTCATATTAGAAAAATATTTAAATGTTACTTTTTTTAAAACTATATTAATCTCTCTCCTTATTTATTGGGTGGTGGTAAATGAGAAAATAAATAATTTCTCTATACCATTTTATACGACGTTCTTTTTTTTTATAGTTCGTCCTCAAAAATGTCACCTTACATTAGTTAATTGTCATTAAATTCAATATCGCTTAGACTTTAGGGACATTTATAAAAAGTTTTAATTGTCTCCATAAATATATGACAATTGTCGTTAATTAATTGTTGGTAAAAATCATTTATTTGGTGTAATGTTACTATAACTAGAAATAATTTAATTTCAATTTTTTTCATTAAGAAATGAGTTATAACAACACAAATAACTATGGATTATTTTAGACCAAAATTTTTAAAAGTCATTATTTTTCAAGT